GAGAGAGAGAGAGAGAGAGAGAGAGAGATGTGGGGTAAGCGAACCTCAGCCTAATAGTAATTACACTGCAATTGGATGAAGTTCCTGGTGGTTCAGTAGTAAATAGTTGGGCTGCCAACCCAAAGGGATGAGGTTTGAACTCATTCGCTGCTCCATGGAAGAAAGACGGGCCATCTGTTCCTGGGAGATTAACTGCTCTGTAAATCCACTGGAGGATCAACTATGATTCCTACCTGATGATACACAGTCTCAAGAGCAGAGACTAAAAGTGCTTCAGTTCTGAAGCAGCCCCCAGGTCAGAGGGTTAGCAGGTCCTGCTGGCACCTGTATTCCAGGAACGGGGAGTCTCTGGCCTGATGTTTGGATTAAACAGGTTGCCCAGAACCTTGGATACTCCTGGAATGATGCAGTAGTTGATTTATACAATCAGTACATGGAGCCTACACACATCAGGGCCAAAGGGCATTGTTTCCCATGTGAGGTGGACCAAGTTTTTCCATCCTACACTGCCTGGCACTCTAAAGGCTCTCTGGCCCTTTTTGGCCCTGGAGATCCCTCTCAGAAGCCTGCCCTCAGCCACTGGAGGTACTTCCCCCCACCCCCAACCATGACATGACTGTGTGCTGTACAGACAGGGAACCAAAACAGAAAATCTTGATATTAAAGCTTTGTTACTATAAAAAAAGCAACTGACAAAGGCAACAAACAAAGCTTCCAGCCCATGCTTGTTTACCCGGCTTTCACATTTGCGTCCAGTTTAATGTCTATATCTGTGATCTGTACAATATCTTATTTATGTGTATGTTATACTACCAATAAAAAAAGTAACGTCTTCTCCTCAGAACAAAATAACTCCCCAAGACAACGCAAATTCACCGTCATTGAGTTGGAACTGATTGACCCTCCAGCAGGATTTTGGAGATTGCCTATCTTTCTTCTTCAGGGCCGCGGGTGAATTTGAACTGGCAGTCTTGGGGACAGCCATGCAATGCCCTACATACTATACCAGCTAAGCTCTCTGGTAGGTACCTCTAAGAGGCTCATGTACCTATACTTCCCAGGGCAGCTGTGAGCACCCCTGCTCAGACACACTGAGATTTTAACAGACTAGTTTCACTATGGGTGCCCAGTCAAGCATTCATTTTCAGACTTCCAGCTTGAACAATCAAGTACTTTAAACATTTAAAGTCAGAACTTTTTCTGAACACCACAAAATGCCATTTTTTTTAAAAAAAAATCTCAACAGACAGTATACAGTCATTCACATCAGAGCAAAACGTTCACACCTTTTAATAAAAATAATTCCCCAAGCATATAATCCCAAATTGGGTGCTTCTCTCCCTTGAATCTTCTAAAAGTGAAGCTTGCTACCACTGTCTAGGCCCCGAGGGGTGTTTAACCAGCCTGTGCTAACAGCAGCAACCTGGTATCTGCATGGGATTCCTTTGCAAATGAAGATCAAAGTCCAAAAGAAAAAAACAAATTCACTTTATTTTAAAGACAACGATTGGCATACAGAAGGTATGCACTAGCATAGAATAAACTTTCATGAAAAGCATTAAAATCCATTATAAATTAATTTATTAAATAGGTATTTGGTATATGTGATGGTTTTATTAGATATTACTCTTATTTATTGCCAACCCCCTCCCCCAAAGTCAAAACAAATCAGAAGATCTCTTAACTCCAATTTACACTAAATAATTTATTTTCCAAAAAAATGTGTATGTGTTCTGAGAGGTGACACATGATACAGTTCGACTGGGCATTCTCTATCAATCATAACATGACAGGACACGAGAGGCTAAAAATGGCTCATCATAATTTATTTTATGTTAAAATGTACAGCTTTTTTTGTTGGGGTTTTTTTTGTTTGTTTTTTGTTTTTTTAAGTGACTGACTAAAAAGAGAACAGATAAATACAAGAGTGTCGCTGGCTCCTATTATACAAGGGTTGCACCTCCTCTGTGTGGCCCTGACAGTCACCCTGTACAGGTACAAAGGCTACAAAAAAGGAAGCAATATAAACAGACACAAATAACCTTTTTGCTTTTTTACATGCGATTCGTAAGCTTAGTTTGAGCTATTCACAAGCTACTTCTCTATTTTTCCTTAAAAAATAACTTCAATATTTTATAAAGATAGAAAAATCTACAGATGGAATGAAAATGTAAAGTTAGAGGCATTTCCATAAAATAGCAACTTTACACCAAATTCACTTTTTTTTTTAAATCCTGCCAAGTATTTGGACATATATGAAATGTTTCAAAACCTGACAGATAAACACTGAGATATGCATCATTCAATAAACAGAAGTCTGCATTTATAAAACAGAAAGCTGCCTTTTTTCCCCCAAAGAAATCTGTCACCAAAATGGAAAAGGGTCTTAACTTTACACCAAACATTTAACAATAAAACCCTTTTGACTAACCAAATGGGAATAGCTTTTATAGCTCTTTACAGTTTTATAATTAACAAAAATATAGTTTTTAGTTTTTGTTTTTTACACCCTCAAATCAGGGCACCCTAATCAAGGCAAAAAACTTAAGAAATGGCTTACTGTTAGCACAACACTTGTACAGTACTACAAAACGCACTGTCACTAACAAAGACATTAGCGGCATGCTCAGGTGTCACCTTAAACAAAACATACAGTAACTGAAATGCTAAAGGCATTTACATGGAGTGGGTAGAGAAGGGAAAAAAAGCTATAGGATCAGTATTAAAACAGATAATTTAGGGGCTTGATATATCCACACCGTGTGATGGGAGCAGGCACAATGAGTGGCTGCCTCCGAACTGTAGTCCAAAGAGAGGCCTTCCTTTGCAGAGAATTTCGTATAAAAGTAACAGAAACGAAGGTACCAAAAAAGAAAAAAGGAAAAAAAGAAAAACAACTTGTATAAGGCTTTCTGCTGCATACAGCTTTTTTTTTTTTTTTAAATAAATGGTGCCAACAAATGTTTTTGCATTCACACCAATTGCTGGTTTTGAAATCGTACTCTTCAAAGGTATTTGTGCAGATAAATCCAACAGTGGTGCCCAGTGGGGGCCGTGACTGCCTGTGTTGCCTACCTCCTCATGTAGGACCCATTGAGCGGCTGTTTGGACATGCCCGTGTTCATGTAGCCGTGGTGTCCCGGAGCTGTGTACATCATGTTACCATGGGGTGGGGTCTGCATTGGCTGCTGGGCGTATGGCTGGGTTCCCATCATGCCCATCTGCATCTGCATAGGGTACTGGGGCGTCTGATTCATGTAGCCATGGTTGCTGTGGTAACCACTGTTCATCATGGGCTGGGACATGCTGTACCCATTCATGGCATTGAGGGTATTCATGTTCATGTTCACGGAGTTGACATTGTAGGTTGGGGCTGGCATCAGGTTCACACTCATGTTCATGCCTCTTTGCATTGTTAAAGTCCTCGAAGGACCCTGCATGGCTACAGTCTGGGAGCGCCCGTAGATCTGGGACTGATGGGTGGCAGCGGCTGGTGACAGGGATGCCGATTTGGTTCTCATGGAGACGTGGCCCTTGCTGGCAATCTGGGTTTGCAGTCTTTGGCTGTGAGAAATGCCAATATTTGATGCCGCCATGTTCCGTTGCAAAAGAGGGGGTGGCAGATTCATTGGAGGAGGAGTCAGGTTGGGGGGTGGGGTCATGGTAGCTTGTGCTTGGGGTCCCCCAGGGACAGAGTGTGGAGACTGAGAAAGCTGAACAAGCCCTGTGTTGCTTAATGGTGTGGACAGAGAGGCACTGTTTGCATAGGAAGTGACAGCAGCGGAATGGCTGTAAGGCAAGGAATGATCAATAAGTGTATTAGTTAACTGCTGTAGTTTGGCAAGGCTGAAGGTGGCTGATGGCTGCGGATAATGCCCGGCCCCAAAATCACTCTGACCCATCCGCTCATACAAGCCGATGTTGGCGCTGCCCGACTCGGGGATCTCCGCTAGCTGCATTGGTGGGGTGAAGTTGGCAGCCAGGCTGCACTGGGCCAGCTGCTGGCTGCTGCTGGGGGGCCTCTCCACCACGCAGCCCTGAGGAGACTTGACACTGCAGGGTGGCGGGGAGCTGATGCTGCCTTGCTGCATCATGCTACAGCTCCCACTGATGTTGGACATCTGCTGAGTGACTGCGCAGCTGCTCTGGGTCAGACTGCTGGAGGTGAGGTTGCTGTAGGAGCAGCTGTTCTGAGAAGAGCCGTTGCCACATATGCTGCCCCCCATGGTGGAATCATAACTGCTTGGGTTTTCATAGTTCTCTGTGGTGCTCTCGATGCTGCCCAGGTCACTAAAGCCACTGTCGACAACTTGCTGTGAGTGATCGGAAACGGACGGGACATCCATCATTGGGCTGGTTTCCATGTTCTGCAAAGATGGCACAGAGATGGCACTTTGATCAGGACTTATTTGGGCATAGCTGTTTTCCAGGGCGGGGACACTGGGACTGCTGACAGAACGCACTGACTGGCCAGGGTGGGAATGGACGGATGACACTGGGCTGCTGTGGTCTGACTGCTGGCAGTCGTCGAGCGTGGTGGCGAGCTGTGGACTTTGGTCCGCGTGGTTGTAGCTCTGCAGGCTTCTACAGGCCTCCTGAGTCTCGGTGCAATCCTGAAAGGTGTCGTCCTGCTCACTGTTCTCCTGCGTCAAAGACTGGACTGCCTGGACCGTCTCAGAGTCGATTTCCACGGCTGCTGCCGCTTCCTCCTTGAACTCAGGGTGCACGTCACTGTCCTTTTGGTCCTCCTTCTGTACCTGCTCTTCTTGGGGTTCCTCATCAGACTCTGGGGCAGCTTCTGAGTCCCCAGGAAGCTCCTTAGGCTCGTCATTACAGGACGCAGCAAGGTCAACACCACAGTCCAGCAAGACCTCTGCATTTGGGTGGCCAGGCTGAACACTAAGGTCTAAAAAAGCCTCCTGGCTCACCAGCGCCTCCTTAGCGGCTTCTCGTGGGGGTGGTTCTTTCTCGGCACTGGCAGACTCCATGTGGCTGTCATCTTCATCATCTGCATCATGGTCCTCATTGTGAGCTGGCTCTTCATCCTCTTCCTCCTCCTCTTCATGATCATCCAAACGCTCAGAAGCCTCCTTCTCTAAGGAGATTTCTGGTCCCTCTTTTTCCTCACTTTTAGTACTATTTGGATCTTTTTCCATCATCCCCTCTTCTTCTTCTTCCTCCTCCTCTTCCTCTTCCTCCTCCTCCTCCTCAGGTTTGGTTAGATCACCTTCTGGTGTCTCACCTGGTGATTTATTCGGACTCCCAGGGGCACATATTGCTTCTGTTCTGTTCTCGTCCTGAGGTGGCAGGGGTCCCAGCAGCCCCCTGACCTCCTCCTCCTCAGGCTCCATGGGAGTGGGGCTGCCTTTTCCTTCTGAAGTCTCCCTCTGTTCTTCCACTGGTACCTGTTCATCGGGCTCCATGGGGGTCTCTGGTGGGGTGTAGAGGTTCAGTTTAAATCCAGTCTTCCTCTCTTTGTTTTGCCTCCATTTAGACAGACTACGCTTTGTCCCTTTAGGCCAGACCTGCTTGCACTTCAGAGGTTCAGGATTGTCTTTACTGACTTCTTTCAAGGTATGTGCATCATCATCTAAATTGTCTTAGAGAGAGGCAGAGAGAAAGAGAGAGAAAAAAATAGTCTTAGAAAGCATAACCATAAACAACTGAATTTATAATTTATTCTTGTAGATTAATTAGCAAATATGATCTTCAACTTAGTGTTTCAAGGCTTGATGGGAGCAACATAACCAAGACTAATGAAGAATAAAATTGTAATATAAACAAAGTAATAAATAAGCTAAGTCTAAGGAAAAGACCAGTCAGATCCCTTTCCCAGCCACCTACTTAGAAAAGTGTACTTTGGTTGAGAGCACATGATTATTATATTAAACTAAGGTTTTAACAAGTAGATACTCCTTTGATATAAAAGTCTAGAGTTCTACCATGTAGAAAAATCAATTTGAACATTTAAAAATTTAGAAACACAGTGAAAAAAGGATACATGCTGGTTTACTTCCCAATCACTACTTAATGGCAGCAGAGCAGCAGCTGACTTGTATCTACCTTGAGAAAGTCAGTAGAACACTTAAAATTAAATGGATCCTTGCCTTGTTCTCCCCTTTTTGAGTGCTTGGGGCCGATTTTCGCCCCTTGTCTTGGCCTCCGCTGCCACCCAGCTTCACGTACAGCTGACATCGGGGGTTTGGAGACCTGAAGACCACCACCGGCTTCCAGGTCCTCAAGAGCTACATGGACGGTTTATGCCATTGCAAGCAGATGTGGTGGTGTTTGAAGCCATCTCCAGTCCCCCACATGCCGACCTGTGTCATGCCCTACGTTGGTCTTATGAGAAGGACAAGGTCAGCCTGCCAGGAGTGAAGAAAGCATTGGAGAAGTATGGCCCTGATAATGTGGGATATACCACAGGAAGTGGAGCTGCAGACAGTAGAGATGACAATGACACTGATCTCTTTGGATCTGATGATGAAGAGGAAAGTGAGGAAGCAAAGAAGCTAAGAGAGGATTGTCTTTCATACTATGAATCTAAGAAAGCCAAAAACCCTGCACTTGTTGCCAAGTCTTCCATCTTACTAGATGGAATGATGATGAAACCGACATGGCAAAATTGGAAGAGTGTGCCAGAAGTATTCAAACAGATGGCTTGGTTGGCGACTCTTCCAAGCTAGTACCCATGGGATATGGAATTAAGAAGCTTCAGATACAGTGTGTAGTTGAAGACGATTAAGTTGGCACAGATGTGCTGGAAGAACAGATAACTGCTTGTGAAGACTATGTGCAGTCCATGGGCGTGGCTGCTTTCAACAAAATCTAAAGTCCATTTGAATCCATCAATAAAAACTTTAAATACAAAACAACAACAAGAAAAAAAAAATTTCAGGGATTCCATATTGCATTTACTGTTCAAATGGAAGGTCTGAACTCCAGAAACCAATCTTGACTGTCAAGTTCCTTTTAGTTTAGGGAGCCGTAGTTGTACCCTCCAAGTATATACTGATATAAAGAAGTACAGAAAGACAGTTATACAAAAAGAAACATATACACAAAAACAGATAGCAGTTTAAGCTTTTAGCTCATTTACATGACAAAAGGTTCTCACATAATCTTACCCTTGAGTAATATATTCAAATTGTCTAGCATAAAGAACAAATTCATTGAAGGTAGAATGAGTCCTTCAGAAGTGCAAAGTGGAATCCCTGAGTAAGACACATCTCAAGTCTTTCAGACTCTTCTACTTCTAGAGATACTTTCCGCTTTGTTAGTACAGATGCTGCTGGGTCTATCAGTCTCTGTAAGAACATCTCCTTGAAGAAGACCTTTCCAAGTATTTTTTAGGAAAAGATCCTGAAAGGCCAGAATTTCTAATGGAAAATGAAGTCTGTGACAATTCTGTGATGAGCTCCAAAGAAGATAATCATGAAAGGGAAACACAACTCAATTCAAACACACACACCCACAATCAATCTCTCCTCCCTCCGATTCTCACACACATCCTCCTCCCCACAATTTACACCTACCAGCAATTCACACTCTCTCTTCTCTCAATCTCTCTCTCTCTCACACACACCCCTCTCCCTGCAATTCACACAGACTCCCCCCAATTCTCATACACTTACCCCTCCTTCCTGCAATTCACATACCGCACACCTCCCTCCTCCCCACAACTCTCTCACATCCCCCACTCCCTGAAATTTGCACACCCCTTTCTTCTCCCCATAACAGACAAAACAACTCACCATAATTCACACACATACACACCCTCCTTCCCCACAAACCTCTCCCACACACCCCTCCCTACAATTTACACAACCCCCTCCCCTCCTCACAAGTGACATTCACATTCTCCCTGAAACTGACACCTCCCCCCACAATTCTCTTTCACACATATTCCACAAACCCTTCCTCCCTACAATTCACACCCCTCTCACAATTCAAATTACAAACCAACCTCCCCCCACCAATTTCCACATACACACTTCCTTCCTCCCCACAATTCACACACACACACACACACACACACACACACACACACACACACACACCTCTCTGTAGTTTCTTGTTGTTTGCATGTTTGCCTAAAGAAATGAAACAGGCTTTCCCCCCTATACCTGGGATATCATTCTCTTAGCAAGAAATTGCATTTCTGTTAATTTGGAAAATAAAAAATATGCTGTCTTGATTTTGTGACTTTACAAAAGTTAGAGGGATACTTGTATGGGAATACAGTGGCTTTAAAACCCCATTTCTGACTAAATTAATTTCCGTTGTGCGGTGGGCAAAGATCTTCAAGCTAGGGCTTGTTAGTCAGCTAGCTGGGAGCTTGGGTTCCCAAGCCCACAGGCAAGGACGGTGCTTTCAAACAGGGCACCTGGAGCATTTTGATTTTTGTTTTTAAGAAGATGGGGTTAGTGTGTTCCTGTCAAGAGCAATCTATAAAACAATAATTTTAAAGGAAGGATGGATTAAAAATTTCCTGATTTCCTGTAAAATCCTTTATTATCAAAGCTGTTGCTGCTGATGTGGCTAATTTTAAATGAGTCTAGAGAGTAAGGATGGGAAATCTTCTGTGCAATGAACTGCCTCTGAAAACCCACAGGAGGGTCTGCTATGGGTTGGTTCCAACTTGATAGTAAACAACAACAACAACAACTACTACTAGAGAGTAGATTTTAAGATACACCATTAGTTCTAATATTTGTTTTGAAGTGAAAACAAACAAACAAACAAACAAAAACCCAATCATATTCAGTGTTCGTGTTGGTAAAAATATAGAAATACTAAATGTAAAAAAAATTCATATTAGAATCAAGGAAATATATGCTTCTGACTGGTGAATTCAAAGTTTACAGAGTAAGTAAATTTCTGCAAATTAAGAGCCTCATTGCAAGTGAAGGCTCTGGCCATCTACCTTTTTAAATTTAAGTCCAGCTTCAGGAAGAAGAGCTAGACACAGTCACAAACGAGCAGGGACAGCTGAGCTTCCTGGTTATTTCAGAGGGGCTAGTCAGACCCATAGGCACTGTGCTATCATATATGGACCTGCAAAAGAGTAAGATTCTTAAAATTCCTCCACTTACTTCTGTAAGAGTCCGCGTTCTTAAAGCAATGATTGTCTTCTCCCTCTTCTTCCTCGCTCTGTCTTTTCGTCCCAGCCTGACAGTGGAAAGCTTTCCTCAGAACTGGCTTCAAGGTGTCCTCCTCCGTGTCGATCTCACAGGTTGGCTCCAGCTGCGGCATTGGCCCCTCTTCATCTGAGTTGTCAAAAGGCTCATTCAGTACTTCTGTTGTCTCAGAAATGGTCTCAGTTGTTACACTGCTGTTGATCCTCCTGCGTTTTCGACCCCTTTTCTTCTTTAATACAAAAGGCCTCTGAAATTAATTCCAAACATTAATACATAAGAGCTCAGGAGAAATTAAGTGGTTGAGTTGCTATGGAGTAAACATGTCCTGAACGCATGTCTGGGAACCTTACACATAGACTTTTGTAATGCCTTTGTACTTAACCTCCATTTGATGTTTAACATCCCTCTTGGGCTACAAAGGCAAGTATTTTCCAAATAAAACAGATGTTTACTCAATCATATGCTTTGAGAGGTAATATCCTAACAGCTGACCTAGACTTAAAAAAAATGAAGGCTCTGCTTTTTTTATCATGTATTTTCAAGTAGGATTTAACTGGCTTCAATATCTAAGATCCTGTAGCACATTCACAGATGTTAAGGATGACAAGAAGGCTGGTGTTCTTGCAAATGTTGTAGCAGTTAAGTAGCCATCGTGTCCCTCAAATAAAGATTGAGGAGCATCTACTATACATGCAAAGCATTAGTTTACTTGTTTCCAAATTCACAGAACTTCAGGATTTTTGAAAATGAAAAGAGAAAAGGTACTTAAAAGAAAGGCCTGCTGTTTAAAATATTAATAGTGTCCTAGATACTCCATGATGTAGACAGTGGATAACATTTCCCAAAAAGTTACGAAACACATAAGCACTATCTTTTTCTCTATAAGAGGAAAAAAAAATGTTTTCTACTTGCATTTAAGGTTGGCACAGTAAGTCCACATGACTGCAATTAAAATATATTCTTCCCAAGGGGGAAAAAAAAGATCTAATGATACCAAATTTAAATAATAAAATATCTAAACAAAATAACAATTCGAAGACTAACAGGCATATCTGGTCCTGTTCTGTCAATACAATCAAAGCAAACCCAACACTGTTGTGTTCACTTTGATTCCTGGTAACCCTCCCTCAGGTTTCTGAGGCTGTAAATCTTAACAGGAGCAGATGGCTCTATTTCACTGTGGCTGGTGGGCTCAAACATCTGATTTTCCATTTAACAGCCTAGCAAGTGATCTATTATGGCACAGGGGATCCTTATCTGTCTGTGTTTTTATTGCTGAGTATCATCATCGAGTTGGAACTGATTCACAGTAGACTCTCCAGTGGGTTTCCAGAGGCAATAAACCGCATGGGAGTAGAATGCCCATTTTTCTCCCACAGAGCAGCTGGTGGTTTTAACACACCTTTGGGTTAGCAGGGCAGCTCCTTAACACTAGGCTGCCTATCTTTCAATAGTGGGCACCCAATTGTTGAAAATATAATGCAATGAAGGAGTCAAAAAAGTCTCACGTTAAAACTCAAACTTTAGGTACACTGTATCTAAGAATTGTTATCTTCCGTTTTTAACTTTCTGGATGGCCACTGATTACACATAAGCCTGACAATTATATTTTTAACTAAATATTTATGATTAACAAGCCCCTAGGCTGTCTGCCCTCCCCAATCTACTAACATTCCTCCATATTGTATAGTCAATATGAAGCCCGTTTTCTTTAGGTCTAGCCCATTTCTGTGAGGGAAGTCCATATCATGACTTGGATGACTATTTTTAATGTCTTAAAACAATTTTCTTTAGTTATTTACACGATTTGGAAGGAGGAGTGGCATCTACTTCCGTGATAGCTTGCCTCCGGAAACCCTATGAACCTGGAGAGAGGATGAGAGACACCCAAGCGTTGAGGACTCTCCTTCATAGGGTCACTATGAGTCGTCTGCAACTCGACGGCACCTAACAACACAACAACAACATTCATACCATACAGGAATACATTCTCCTTGTAAGTAAATGAACTATACTATATAAGCCTAAAGTCTCCCTCGATGCAGTGTCCCTTCTCACCACATCCCCACTGCTTCCCTTGGACTGAAGCCTGCCAGAAGGACTGAACTTATGTTACGACAGCAAGCTCCTTGACACATACCATAGACTGGCTGCTGGGCAAAGCCTTAAAATTAGACTTAATTATCTCTGCTTGTCTTAGTTATACTAACAATATCTGGCCTCTATCATAGATCCTAAAGACAGAGATATTGGACCTGGGTTGAGTCATTCCTAAGACAAACTAATTTTTTTTGCTTCTATGAATCACTGGAGATAATGGAAGTTTATCTAAAAATCTGCTAGGCTAATGCTGTTGTTGTGTACCCTTGAGTCAAAACCAACTTATAGCATACCCTCTAGCAAATTTTCAGAGGCAGTAAATTGCACAGAAGTAAGGAAAGAAATTGCACATCTTTCTCCCATGGAACATCGATTTGAACTGTATTCCTTAGGGTTGGCAGTGCAACTCCTCCATTAAGCTACCACTATGGCACTGGAGCTCCTTACTAGGCTAATAAGATGGCAGTAGTAGTTAGCCACAGAAGCAAAATACCAGAGCCTCAAAATTAAGGGCCTAACATACCTTCTTCCAAGTCTATGAAAAGTATAAGAAAAACAAATAATACTAGAACAACTGGGCTTGGTTATGGCTCTTTTTCTAATCACACAGCTTATTAGAGATGCTCAAGTCCCCTGGCATCCCTAGGCCACGGTGTTTTCATCAAAATTAATTGAAGGGTGATTTACATGATCTCTCAGACCCATATAGGTTCCCATGAGCTCATCGGCCCTACTCCTGCCAACCAGCAGGTGGCAGTAACTACTAAACTAGGAAGCTGCCTTGTTATGGATTTCCTCTTAGCATTAACAAGCCTCAGAAGGTAAACATAATCATGACTGTAAGCTAAATGATTATGACAGATGATTAGTGAGACTGGATACACAAACTATCTGAGGACTAAAGAGAGAAACAAATTTTAATAGAATGTTTGTGATGACAAATTTAAGATCTGATTGAAACTGACTCACAAACTGACAATCCTAACAGACACTTACCTTTCTCTTTATGGCAACAGACTGTGGCTTAGTTAGTCTTGGGGGAGAACTCGGAATATTTTCCTCTTCTTCCTCCTCCTCTTCCTCCTCCTCCTCCTCCTCTTCCTCCTCCTCTTCCTCCTCACTGCTTTCTTTAGACAGCTCCCTCAGCTGCCCTCGTTCTCCTGTCCCTGGCCGGCTCTCCAGGGAATGCAAATACTTGTTTTTCGATTGTCCTTTCGCAGGTGACTGCCGACTGTTCACTCTCAATGACAGCAGTTCTTGGTCCTCCTTCTCCCAGCAGCTGGCTTGTTCCATTAGCCGCTCGGCCTAAGTGGGGAGGGTGCAAATGGGGGCCAGTCAGAGGGCAGCACTGCAGCTGAAGCCTCCCAGGATCGATGGCAAATGATCTCTAAGTTGCTTGTGATCAGGACAGTCAGCCAGCCAAGCAGCATCCCAGCTGCGTCAGCTCAGGACCCCTTTACATCAGTTAGGATAACAAATCAAAGGAGATTGGGTTTCATGGGATATTTAGCACTATTAATGATGCAGCGAATTGATTTGAGTCCTTTATCACTACATTACATGCTCACTGGCATGGAGCACTTTAAGCAAGTTCATAAACACAAAGAATCGATTGACACTGCAGCCTTGGAGCCTGGCGCCAAATCTGATCTGATTACACGCTGTCAGCAGTGAAAAATGCTGCTCTGTGATCAATGATAAATGTTTCATTTCTCATACTCAATTCAATAAAATTATCATGTCTTACCATTCAACTTCAGTTAGGTTAAATTAGTGCCATATCATTTCACAAACTCTTTTCTACATAACCAAGATCTTGACAAAGATGCTAATGACTCTTTTAGCTTAAGAATGTTACAAGATTGAAATCACGAAACTTAGGCTGATGAAACCAATCATTACCTCTTTTTCAGCTTCTCTCTCTTCTTCAGAAACAGCAGCATTAGAAATTAAAATTGGGGTCCACCGCAGACTCTCTGGATCTAGTTCATTGGCCCGGGAACAGGTTTTTAGCTTCTCCATGTGGCCCAATATTAACTTTTCCCTTCGAATGATGACAAATCTGTAATGTGATGAGGCAGAACAAAGTGGAGTCAAAAGCTAAAATTTCATTTCACCTTCACACACTGACATACACTAGCACTACTGCAGTCATTACAAGGTTATGCAAAGTTAAGAGAATGTACCAATAAAAAAAATCACAACTTGATATTAAACTAGCAAAAGAAAGGTCATTATGTGTTGTATTTTCAGAAAAAAGGTTTAAATCATACCATCGGGCTATCTCTTCTCTTTAATTGGTATTGCTAGCCTGCAAATGGCACACTCAGAAGCTAATAAAAAAATGGGAGGAATCCACTTCCAACAAATCAGTCCTTTAAAACTCATAGTAGGGTTGTGATGCACTGGAACCAATACAATGGTAACTGGTTTTATCTTTAACTGGAAATGACTCACCGAGCCAGGGGTCCGTCTCTGCAATGCAGTGGTGTCACCCAGGCCCCAGAACTTACCGGCCATCTCGCTTGTCAATCATGTGGAGGTGCTGCAGAGTGGTGGCAATGTCATGTGGGCACATGCCCGTAGCTCTGCTTATTGCCTTGATGCTGATGTGCCTCTCATCGTGGTGGTAGAGGTATTCTAAGATGACACTCTTCCAATAGGCCAGGTAGGAGAGGCGACCCAGATCAGAAAGCGGCTTCTCAGGAGACCCTGCCTGGCCTTCCCTTCTGGAGAGCAGATAGCCTAGGGCAGGAAAGGGAGAGAGAGAAAGAAAAGGACACCTCATTGTGGTGTCTCCAGAATCTGGAACAAGGCCATGAGAACTTAAGTAGCAACAAGGTAAAAACACTGCATGGGGGAGTGCATTAATTTTCTGTTTGGAGTCTCTTCCCAGCTCTAGCAATGATTTGACCTCCATGAAGTTTATGCTTCTCGATCTTTTATGCTGGTCCTAGAAGTCAAGTCATCCTGGCATATTTAAAAGCTCAGGTTAGAGACACTGCTTTTGGAAAGTCTGCAACATCCAAGTTTCTCAGCAGCGTTAGATTCTTTCAAAAGCTAAATGTCAGGCACTTCCTCAGAGATCCTGTCGAGGGACCACCCCAAACATTAATGGGCAAGTTGTTTTCCACAGGAAGGACCTAACGACCCTTTGACAGCTGGGTCTTAATAAAAAGAGAGGGGCCTCCAGTTGACTCAGATTCTATATTGCCTGTTACGTTTAACTAACAGACTGATGTGCAGCTTGGTTTCAGGACTAATAAAAGAATGTCTTTCAAGTCAAGGGCTGCATTTCACAGCAGCTCCACGAGCTCTATATTCACTGCTTTGATGGAAATGAATTTATAACCCAGCCCCAGAACACTGTTCCTACATCGAAAACAAAAGCATCCTTAAAAGAAATGGTTTCATGGACACGATATTCAGAGAATCCCTGAGCATGTTAAGCTTTTGAATGTGCCTTTTACAACATTACTGGGAAGGTTCTTTGGCAGAGGAAGTTTCAAATGAGAAAAACTTTAAATCCACTTGAAGGTAATGAATGAAGAAAGCTGGCGGCTGTCTCAGTAATTAAGAGCCACTTGTGGAGTAGAGAAGAAATGTTATATAGCCTAATGATGTCTACCTTGCACTAATTATCTGTTTCCACAGCCTCACCTTCATGAAATCCTTAAATTTAAACAAACATCAACCATATACAGTAGGTGGCAGCAATTACAAAACCATGCTGCTCTGTGAACCAGCCAAACTGTAAGCATTTTTCTCTTTATCTACATTTCCAAAATGGCTGCAATCTCAAGAATCTTCTCAATTTTGGATTTTGTTGTGGTTACAAGCAGAAATCAAGAAATCCATGCATTTTCAGTGCCTATCAAAATCACTTTGAAGAATGCAAGAAGAGAGAATAAGCCAACCGTACCCACACAGGGGTATAACCAACCACAGGATTTTGCATTTTCAGGGCTTTAACCGGAATGCCCCTATAAAGAACAGGCATACATTTAACTTTAGGTTTTACGGATGTCTTTTGACTTGTCTCTTTAGCTAGTTGTTAAGCACAAAACATTTGAATGAATGCAAACAATCACCACAAAATTTAACAGTCAAACCACTGTTGACATGTCATCTGACTGCACACGGAAGCTTTCAACAGCTGTGTCAGGAACACTACCAGCGACAGCGGTGCTGAATGCAGCCGTGTCGTGCCCTGTCAACATGGAGGAAAGCTCGCCAGAATACGAAGGGCGCCCAAACCTCAGAACACAGATAACTGGCACATCCGTCATCTGCCTCCTAAGTGCTTGGCACATGCTGAGAAATTTACTCAACTGGCTGGAGGTCCCAGCTCTGCACCTTGGGAAGGAGAGGGGAGGAACCACAGGGCTGTGACTGCGGAACTCTCCCTTTTGTCCATGAAAGCCCTCAATTCAAAGTACCCACAGTGACTGGGAAATTGCCCAGGCCCCCACGGGGTCTGCTCTGAACCCTACAGAAGAGAAGGACCAGAAGTTCCCCTAACAGAAGGTGGTGTGTCAAACTACTGTGAGATATCATCTCACCCATAACAGCAAACAGCAAATGCTGGCGAGGTTGTGGAGAAACTGGAACCCTTATTCACTGTTGGTAGGAGTGTAAAATGGTGCAACCACTATGGAAGGCTGTATGGCACTTTCTCAAAAAGTTGTTGTAGAAATACCATTTGACCCAGAAATTCCACTACTTGGAATATACCCCCAAAACCCTATAACTGCCACATAAGCAAATATATGCATGTCCATGTTTATAGCAGCTTTGTTCACAATAACAAATAGGTGGAAACAACCCAAGTGCCCATCAACAAACGAATGGACAGAGAAGCTGTGGTATAGTCACACAATGGAATATTACGCTGCATTGAAAAACAAGGAACTCATGAAATATTATACAAAATGGGTGACCCTGGAGGACATTATGCTGAGTGAAATATCTCAGTCACAAAAGGACAAATACTGCATAGTGCCACTAAAATGAGACTGACATAGGGGTTTGCGGAGACTGAGAAAGATGGGATAAATAATGTATACTGCATTGAAACAGATGCGGGAGAAAACTGTTTAAAAGGGATAAAGGCTACAGTGGACCTGGGGGAGTGATTGTGTAACAATGAAAGAACTTTTCCTTTACTTTTCAAGAACAACAACAAACTGGAGGGCAAGGCTGGGCATGGAGAAAAAGGCAACAATGAATGAATGGAAATCCAAAATATCTGTAAATTTTCATTAAAATTAGTAATAAGAAGAAAAAAAGAAAACAAACCAAAACAAACAAAAGAAGGTGGTGTGTGCCCTTCCCCATACGATGGGCTTCCTCTCCCAGGATGTGCACACCTCAGCCGTCCGTCTTCCTTTCCCACAGTTCCCACTCTCGGATGCAGAACAATAGAAAGGCACATGTTCTACAACTCTTCATGTCTGCACAACCAAGGTTCTAAAGATGCAACATGTCAAGGCTGGAACCTAAATGGCTTTGGCCCAAGGTGTTTCACAGACTGTGGAGACCACTCTGAACAAGCCTTTCAGCACCTGCTATCCTTACCAAGGCAGGGAGCTATCTCCTGGGGGGACCCCTTAGACCAACACCTGTCCCCAGAAAAGAGTCCTGGACTTGAGGGAGTGGAGAGGGAGCAGTGAAGTGACAGCCCTGAAGAGCATGGTGCCACTCAGGGTACTGGGCCCTCGCACATCACACTGTGCTAAGGGGGAAGCAAAGCTTTCCTGGGTGCTGGGAAGAAAAACACGAACACACTAGAGTTCTAACCAACAGACATCAAAAAACACCGACGTTTTCAGGGATGACAAGCACCAACATCAAACACCCGAAATGCCTCCGACTGAAGTGTCACTGCACTGTGGGCCATTAAATGCCTCTCTCCTATCTTATGTACGAGAGTGGCATGGACCCCACATGCTTAGGACGAGTGCCATTTCTTAGGCCACAAATATCTTCTCCTAGAAGAGAAATTTTTGATGGCATCTATTTGAATAGTCAAAATGACCAAGGAAAAAACCCTTCAGATTAAAAGATTATTGAGTGAAATAACTTATAATAAGTCAAAACATAAAAACATACAGCTTGGAGGTGGCGGAAGTTGTGCAATGTTGTCATAAGGAACCCCCAATCCGCTCCAACCCACAGGGACCCACGTACAACAGCACAAAAGCCTGCCCGATCCCGCAGCAGCTTCCCAATCTGTTCTGCCGAAGCCCATCACTACAGTCGCTGAGTTGGTCCATCCCAGTCAGGGTCTCCCTTTCTGCTGCCCCTCAGCTTTGCCGAGCACCCTGTCCTTCTCTATGCACTGGCTCATCCTGCTAGGAGCCCAAAGTAGGGGGACAAAGTCCCACCACCCCTGCTTCTAAGGAGCCCTCGGCTGTACTACTTCCTCTAGGTGAATACAATTTCTTCTTTAAATACTGCCTGAAGCTCCACTTGTCTCCAAAAAAAGCTGCTGCTGGTGGTACTTCATTATCTTGACCTTCAAAACATGGAATGTTTTAAAGGATTTTGCTCCATCTTTGGTTTCTTTCCATCTTTTCTAGACTTCATTTTTTTCCTCTTCTTCTCTTATTGTGTACCATCGAATCAGATCTGACTGGCACAGGAGGAGATTGCCCCACCTTCTCCAGAAGAGAATCTGGTGGATTCGAACCTCACACCTTCAGGACTGCAGTGCAGCTTCTTGCCACTGGGCCACCAGAGTTTCCTTTTTTCCTAGTCTCTTCAAATCACAACTGCTATTCAGCCCAGTGCAGGATAATTTTTGGTAAGAGCATTTTACTTATTGAGTAATTAATTACAGAGATGTAGTTTATGTTACAGCTCTTAAATTAACTTACCAAAAAGATTCCAAATAATTGATCTAAGTGCAGGGAAAGAAAAGGCACTTATCTTGGAAGCTGGTGTACTGTCCTGAAGGATCTGAAACAAGTACAATACACCAGTGGTAAATAACCTCCTGTGGTCTGACATCTCACCTTAACTCAGGATACTTTCACTCAGAAAACCTGAACTATTCCTGGGGGAACCTGTTCTAGATGGAAAGCAAAGAGATGTTTGAAGGACAAATCCCAATAACAGCCGAATAATCGCTGGTGAAAACTATTCCCTTTAAGTGGTAGAGCCAGAAGTATTGTGTGAATAGCCCTTAGCCTGGGATCAGGAGAGTTGTAATTGAAAGCCGACTGGCCCATAAACCTCTCATCCAACATCAACTATCTCGATACTGGCGAAACCTGGCTTCCTTTTCAGCTTCATTGGATCTACTCACCCAGCAGAAGGTGATGGCTGAGTTTCACTGGGTGGAGCACTTAACTAAAAAGGTTCTAAAGCAGTTTGCTTAAAGAAAAAGAACAGTATGTAGTCTAAAAAAAGGTAAACATTTCTGAATTTTACTACATAAGTCTAAATGCGTCTTGCCTTCACCAGTGGGCTAGTAGTAAGGAGTTGTGCTGCCAACCAAAAGGCATGCTGTTCGAATCCACCAGCTGCTCCATGGAAGATTTAAACTGGAGGGTCATGAGTGGGTTCTGACTCAAGAACACGTAACCACCACCACCAGCAGTGGTGAGTAAAAGAATCAATTCTCATGTTAGCTGATCCAGACCCCATGTTTAAAATGGTTAACCCCTTCCCAGGGGAGAAAAACGGGTTGCTTTCATTTAAGCAGATAGATCCACTGTCATCAGGAAGGAACATCTATGACA